GGGAAAACTGATCTATCAGTGAGAGTCAGAGAGTGTTTATCATAGTCAATGTTACACAACTTGTCCTGCTATTGTGAAATACAATCCTGCAAAAGGCCTGTTGAGCACGAACTGCATATTTATTGGGAAATACATAAGCGTTAACAACAGAGACAATAAACGATGTAGAGCTCAGAAAGTGGACACTGGAGCAAAGACCATGGGAGATTAGTAGAAACTGTAACGTTTGGGTGCTATTTCTCATTTCTGTTGTAACTCCTTAGAGATTAAGTAAAACTAAAGTCTCCTGTTTGGGTTTCTATAATGCACAGTTTTTCTGACTTACACAAAATTGACAATAATTGAAGTAGCTTAAATTCTTTATTATTATTTTATTAATCTGTGATGCTTTAAATATCTTATACACATAGTTCAACCCCAGATATCAAATCACATGGCAGCAACTTAGTGCACTGACGCATGTAGACTTGATCAGAACAACCTGCTGAAGCTGAAACTGTGCATCAGAATGAGGAAGAAAGATGATTTAAGCTGCTTTGAATGGGGCGTGGTTTTGGTGCCAGACAGGTTGGTATTTCAGAAACTGCGGAGCTGCTGGGATTTTTCTAGAGAATGGTCTGAAAAAGAGAAAACATCAGGTTAGCAGCAGGGTTGTGGTGAAGAATGTGTGAAGATATGCAGAGTAGCTCTGAATGCACAACATTGCTGTCATATCAACATGGACCAAAATCTCTGAGGAATGTTTCCAGCACCTTGTTGAATCTGTGGGTTCATGCAGGATTAACAAGGTGTAGTTATTAGAGTGTACATTGTGTTTTATAATGTTAACTATTTGATTGTGACATGAATTTTGTAGTTTCTGGTGTGTGTTGCTCTATAAATGTATGCTTCATAAATAAAGATTGACTGATTATTGATCTGTATTAATCAGATAAACCAAAATATGTGTAAAAGATAACATCCACCAACACTTTAAAATAAATTTGGTAAAGAACAAAAGTCCCCTTAAAGACATAATACGTATTTCTGTTCTGACAACTTCATAATAGTTTCTATTCTGGTTACATTAGGCTTTGAGCAATGTTTTTGAAGTGTCACAGGAGGAAAAGCAGAGTTATAATGTTAATGATGACTACTCAGCTGCTCCAGGAAAAGGCAACAGATATAAATATATTTTGTGACCCAGAATTTAAAGCCAGCATTAATCATTGCCATTAATAATCACAGACTGATGCATTTACACAAGAAAAGACTGATCAGGAATAATATTGGGACCAAAAACTGGATGTTTACTGGTAGAGCTGGTCAGTGACACGAAGCCTTTTCTGAGCCCTTGATTTTTAAACTTGGCTTTACCTCCCTCTACTGTCTGCACACCTGAACACTCACAGGGCAGATACTACACTGACATATAAAATGCAAATCAAACTGGAAATATTGAATACACAAGGCACATTGCATTTTTTTTTCTTTCATATTCTGCACCCTGGTCACAGGATCTTTACCTGAGGATTGCTCTACAAAAGGCGCAGTCTCTAATTTCTGTCATTTTTATGAATTTTCATATTTATTTTAATCTTTATTTCTGAGAATAAACTAAAAAGATTACACATACATTCTCATCTCTCCCTTTTACTCATATTACCACCTTCATTATATTTATAATGAGTTAATGAAAAACCCTTAATTTATTTAATCGGGCCAAAGAAATATCAAAATTATCACTCATTGTGTCAGCTGGCAGCCACCATCTGTCAGGGTCCTGCATTTTGGATCCACCACTCCTGCTTGCCTGCCACACAGCCTACCATGACCATCAGAGATATTTTAAAGCAAATAATATGTAAATGCTCGTGATCACATTTTTAAAAAGAAACCAATAAAACAAAATATGGGCGGTCACTCAAACAAGGTCAAAATATTTTTGGGAATCAAATAAGATTCAAATATGATCCACAGCGGGATGATTTACAATGTGTTCATGTGTCCTCCTATGACTCTGGTTACATTCAGTGTGCTGCAACCTTAAAATTAAGATAATCTATTAATTCAGATAGTCATTGAAAAACAATCATATTCTCCAACATCTGTGGGACAAAGACATTAGACTGTAAGTGAGGACATCCAATAATAACAGAAGTCGTTTTAAATGAA